TCCTCTTAACTTGGCCACGGCGGCGCGGGGCGGTGCGCTTCGCCCTGCGCCGGCGGCGGGGGATGTGCGGGCGGCGGCGGGATGGCTTCGGCCGTGTTTGAGGGCACCTCGCTGGTGAACATGTACGTGCGGGGCTGCTGGGTGAACGGCATCCGGCGGCTCATCATCAGCCGGCGGGGCGACGAGGAGGAGTTCTACGAGATCCGCACCGAGTGGTCGGACCGCAACATCCTCTACCTGCACCGCAGCTACTCCGACCTCGGCCGCCTCTTCAAGCGGCTCCTCGACTCCTTCCCCGAGGACCGGCCCGAGCTGTCCCGCTCCCCCTTGCTCCAAGGTTTGAGCAGCCTCCGCGGCCCTGGCGCTCTGTGCTCTCTCGGGCGGGTTTGGGCCGCCGCTCCCCCGGGGCTGGCCGGGCAGGGCGGGCGATCCCCCTCGGCGGAGGGAAGGGGCTGAGGAGCTGGAGCCGCTGAGAGCCGGACGGGGCGGCGGGGGCAGAAAAACTGCGGGGGCGTTTTGCGGTCGGAAACCCCTCCCGGGATGTTGATTTGTGTTTCTCTTATTTTTTTTTTTTTCTTGACTACACGTTTGGAGCCGAGGGCTCCCCGCAGGAGGGTGGCCCCAGTATCGCTGCTGCTGTCTCCAGCTGCGCGGCTCCGGGCTAGGCTGGGCTGGGGGAACAGAGGGATCCTCGATGGCGCTCCCCCTCTCCGGTGCCTCCGGGTTTCCCGAGGAAAGGCTGGGGGGTGGTTGGTGAAAAAGGAAAAAGGAGGAAAAAGGGTGTAGCTGAAAAATCTCCGAATGTCGGTATGCTGTTTGCCACAAGGAGGGGGCAAAAAAAAAATAAAAAAATAAAAAAAAAAAGGGAGCAACTCTGGGAGCTGGCGTAATTCCTCGCATAACTTCTGTGAAACGGGAATTGCGGCAGCGGCTAGTAGAGACGTCTGTTCTCTTCCAGTTTCTGAAGTGGATTAACCAAACTCCGAGGGATGTTGTCCATGCTCAGGCCTTGCTATGCAGAAGTAGGATGTACCCAAGCTGTCCTGCCGGTTGGATTTAGTTTGTTTAATGTTTGGGGTATTTTTTAGATAGTTATGTGTTCTACTCTGACGTATTTCAAGTGTGTAGAGTGGTGAGGAGCATCCAGTCATCTGAAAATGCGTGTAGCACTCCCAGTCTCCCCACTTGTTTGAGTTACGACGTAAATTATTTGATTGAAAAGGAACAGGGAAAGAAACGATATTCTGTGCATGATTTTCTCTGTGAGAGGATGGGAAAGTCTTCACAAGTTCTCACTTAGCCTCTCACCTTGCTAGTGGGACCCCCTTGCAGAGGGTCTGCGTTTTGCTGTTCTCGGAACTGGGTCTCCCTAGTTCCTAGGTGTAAACCCACGGGACTTCACTCCTGGGCCGTCCCTGGGTGACAGCCACCTCTGTTCCCTGTCAGTGACGATCCCTCCCGGGCTGCCTTCCCAAGGATATTTGCTGGCAGGTGTTCATAGCGAGACAGGTCTTTTTCCATGGTCCTGGCAGCTCCCTAACCTCTGGTGCTGGGGTCGCTTTGGGTTATGTGCCTCCCATTAAAACGCTCGTAGGGACGAGCCCTCTCCCCGGCCTGTGTCCCCCGGCTTTGCTGTCCCCGCTGTCGGGAGGTGGCCCCGGGAGCTCCGCCGCCACTCGCGGGCCCCGAGTGCCCTCTGCAGACGGCGGGGATGGGCGCAAGGCAGCCGGGGCTGCCGCAGCCCCGCACTCCTGCTGGCTGCGGGCCGCGAGTGGGAGATGCTGGCAGGGCTGGGAGCCGGAGGGGGCTGTCTCCTCCCGCCTGGGTGCAGGCTGGGAATGGGGCTGTTCCTGCGGATGCCGGACCCCACCTCTCAGCCCGGCACAAAACGGTGCCCCGTGCGTTTCTGATGCTGACCAGGGATCTGAAGTACTGCAAAAGCTTGTTGCCCACCGCGTGTGTCCTGCCCAAAGAACTGAAGGTGTGATTTTTACTAGTGCTTAGTGGCAGTAAATTCTCGGTAACGTGGCCTTCAAGTGTATGTGGCACCTGGGCCACGGCTTTTGAGGATGCTGGGTAGGTTTGGAGTGAGCCTGCCTGTGGTCTGCAGGGCACAGCACCTGCCGGAGTCACTATGACTAAAAATTGACGTCCCAGGGTGCAGGCAATCCTTCTTGTTGGCTTTCCCGAGCTCTGAAGAGTAGCTTGGCAGCTGGACTGGGGTGTGTGCTGTGGCTGGCTGCAAATGGACTCGATCCTTGGCCTCCTGCCCCTCCCAGTGCTCCTTCCCCATTGGTTATGCACAGGAGCAGCTGCTCATCCTAAAGCCCTTCTCATTCCTCAGTGCCTGTCTCAAGCAGCATGGTTCCTCTCCTGTCTCAAGGCCTGCCAGAGCTTTTGCAAAGTATTCAACTCTTCACTTCTCTCTGAAGTGTTACTTGTGCTGTGTGAGCCAGATGGGATTATAGTCCCTTGCACTGGCTTTACTTGACAGTCCCAGGTAGATACACCATTCATGCATGAACAGCTGGGAAAGATTAACCATTCTCAGCCTATGTTGCTCAATCTCTGCCTAAAATCTAAAGCCAGCAACCTTGACTTACCTTTATCTCAGGAACAGGCACATAGACTTCAGTAGAATGGGGAATGAGCAAAGCATCAGTTTAGGATTAGAAAAATCTAAACCTAATATAAATAGATTATGATCTGTTTAGCTTGTTGAGGGAGTGGGGGTTAACTTTGCAACAGAGACAGAATAAAAATCAGGAGTAGTTTCTAAGCAATTACAGCATGCGTCACAATTTTAGCAATACTCTGTTTAAAATTATGCTGCTCCTGCTCTAAAGAAAATTACTTTGCAGAGTATGCTTCTCTGCCTAAAGAACACTTCATCATACCAACATTTTAAATTGGCTGGCCACAGCCTCTGATAACTTGACAAAGTTGAAACATAAAAGCCTCATTTGACTAAGTGACATTGATGCAAAGCTTTGTGTGTAAGAAGAGATTGCATGGGGCATGTCCAGTCTTTACAAAAATCATGGGATAAGCATGGTTTCTTAATGCCTTGTTTAAAAGCAGATGTCCTGCTGTCTACAGTGAAGCTCAATGTACTTAACCCAACAAAAACACCTGACAAAAGCCCATTATTGTGTGTGTTAGCATTTAGTCATATACTTTTGTGTGTATTTTTATATATATACAAATGTATTTGCATATATATGTGAGTTTGTGTGTGTGTGTGTGTGTGTGTGTGTGTGTTTATCATGGGCTTCCTGAAAGAAGGTGAATATCAGCTCTGCCTTTTATCTGGAGGAAGTGATAAAGTGTTGCAAACCAAATTTGCGTCACATTGAAGGACTCCAAAGTCCCTACAGATTTGCCTAAGGAGCATTATAAGGACTAACATTATCCTACAGCTCAGTCAAGCTGCAGTGTGTTACATTTAAGGGATACAACTGAGAGTGGAAGCTTGAGCTATTTGATGTTATTAACTTTTTAAACCAAAGTTGTGGTTATTTTAAAAACGTCAGCAATTTTAGACAGACTTCGTTGTTACCTTTATTGCTGGCTTCAGCAGACAGTTCCTGCTCTGATGGAATGTGCTCCTTTTCTTGTTCAGCACGAGGAAGCCATACTCTCCATTCCTTTCTTGACCCCCCATCCTCCTGGACTGACTTCCACAATGCTCTTCCCTTCCTTATTTGTTGGAGCTGCTGAGTGCTTTCAGATTGCAGAGGAGAGGATGGGAGGTGTAGCTGTCTGCACTGGCTGTTCATCTTACCCTTTCTTTGATATGAGAGGAGGGGAGGTCCCTGGGGGGAGTAGGGCATTCCCACAGTTTGGTCTTGTCTTTGGTAACTAATAAGAACACGTGGCAGAGGGCACTCTGCATCTGGAGGGTACAATGATGCTAAAGGCCAAGAACATTCAGCAACACAAGGCATCTCACTAGGAAACTGGTAAACAAGGTTAGATATGTGCATACCTGCAGGGTGACTAAGTATGATTCACTGTGCTGTAACTTGCTAGTATTTTATTTGTCTTTGAAATCTGCCTGTCCCTTGCTCTAGGCAAATGCACAGAAGAGGATCACAGGAAAACACAGGTTCATTCACTCCTGCAAAGAACGCAGCCTAATGTTACTAAATTGTCTGTTTCTCTATATAAAGTCTACTTTTGAATTTAACCCATTTTCTTGAGAAAAGCAGAGCTATGGACTTAGAAGCTGACTTAAAATTGATGGAAATAGAAATAGTTTCAACAGACCAAATAGACACCAAAACTGAGGTATAAATCTGGAAAATGACTCTTCCTTTTCCCCCTCCCTCTCCTATTTTCTCTGAATACTACTTGTGAGGAAGTCTCATCTAAGATTTATCCTAGAACTTGAGCGAGCTTCAGGGCAGTCAGCGGTCACACACCTCCCTCGCCTCTGACTTCAGAGGGCAGAATCAACCCCTTAAGGAAGCCAAAAGAGCGCAGTACCAGCCTTTCAAAACTGGGATTTTATTGCCTATGGAGTGGCAGGGTGGTTTCTGGCAATCTTCCTCTGCACTTGTTTGTTGCCTTTGTTATCAAAACAGATAGAAGATAGCTCAGATGCTCTTCCAGTATAACTGTTCATATTGTACCTACCTGTAGTGCCTGGTCCTGCTCTGATACTCTGAGCTGCCAAATCAGAAACCCTCTGACAGATTTATTTTATTACTAGATGGGCCTCTCTTTCCGAAGTTCTCATTTTCCTCCTTTCCATGTCTCCTCTGACTCATTCTGCTTTGTCGTGGTGTTTTTTCCACTTGCTCTTCTGTTATTTCCCCTCTGCTTCTCCAAGTTGCTTTCCCTGAGCTGCTTTCTGGTCCTCTTCTTTGGCTCCAGGTTTCCCTCCGGTGTGCTGCCATCCGTGGTTATTTATGACTCTGCAGATCTTCTCTGTACCCTTCCACCTTGCAGGTGCTCAACCTCTGTCCATCCATAGAAGTTTTCTAGTAGTGGTGGTGGAGATTTCCTGTAGAAACCTTGCACCTTTACTTCGCCTGGTGGTGTAGAAGCAGTCACTTCACCCTCAGCAGACCTGAGCGGTCCCTCACAGAGATCAGGCTGAGCTCTATCTCCAAGCCTTGTGTCTGGCCCTGGGCTGGCATCCTCCTGCAGACAGGAGGTGATCAGCTGTTTTCCATGTCCGAGTGGCTGTGCAGCAGGAAGCTCCTCCAGGGCTGCCATTGGAAGGATGTGCACAACACAGAAGGCAGTTCCCAAAGAGCCAGCCCAGGAACATTGCTTGCAAATGTTACATTCATAACTTAGTTTTCCATATGCTGCACTATAGTGTTGTTG